TCCACGATACAACATTCCTCGTTCAGTTTAGTCGACCTCACAACTTGCCAATCCCAGTCTAGTCCACCACGCAACTTGCCAATCCCAGTCTAGTCCACCCCGCAACTTGCCAATCCCAGTCTAGTCCAGCTCGCAACTTGCCAATCCCAGTCTAGTCCACCCCGCAACTTGCCGATCCCAGTCTAGTCCACCTCACAACTTGCCGATCCCAGTCTAGTCCACCCCACAACTTGCCAATCCCAGTTTAGTCGACCTCACAACTTGCCAATCCCAGTCTAGTCCACCCCGCAACTTGCCGATCCCAGTCTAGTCCACCCCGCAACTTGCCAATCCCAGTATAGTCCTCCTGCAACTTGCCAATCCCAGTCTAGTCCACCACGCAACATGCACATTGTGTTATGATTTATTGATCTTTGGGGTTTATTTATTTAGATATATATATTTATTGTTTCATCGTAATGACAGGGCAGTATATAGTGTCACGGCATATAGATCGATCGATATAGGTAGGCACCCTCTTGTCGACTGTCGGTCAATGTAGATACGGTTCCATAGATGACAGAGGAGAAGCGCAAATAAAAAAAACTGCTGCTCAAATAAAAAGATACGGTTCGATATGATTGTGGAGGAAGCACAAGTAAAAAAACTGCTGCTTTTTACTCAAATATGCGATGCGATATATGGAGGGAGCACAAGTAAAAAAAAACTGCCGCTTTTCACTCAAATATGCGGTTCAATACATTGGGAGAGCACAAGTAAAAACGTACTGGATAATATTTCAACGAGCCGTTCTCGCTACGCGCTTCTGGCGAGAGACTGAGAGAGAGAGAGGGAGCAAAAGAGAGAAAGAGAAGGGCTTCTTTGATGTCGTTTTACGCAGTAGCGCATGAACGGCGGAACGAAAGTGCGCAGCGCAAGAGGAGAAGGTAGAGGAGGAAGCGACGCCTTTGTTGGCTTCCCCGCAATTTAGCGTTGTGTAATTTTTTGTTTTATGTCGCCGAAATTTCCATTCGGCGGAGAGAAGCGGCGCCGACGCGCGTGTGTTAAACTCGCCGAGCAGCGTCTAACACGGTTAGCGGTGATGGCGGGAAAACTCGCTCGCTCACCGGCGCCTCGCAACACTTTACGGGCGTTACGGGCCGTGCACACGCGCGCACGCAGTCTCTGTGCGTCAACGGAGAGAAACCGAGGGAGGAGGAGGAGGAGGAGGAGAAGGAGGAGAGATGTTTTATCAGCCTAGAACGATTTAGCTCACGGGGAATGTTATGGCGCGGGTGGGTGGGGGTTGGTGGGGCTGTTGGGCGCGATGGTGGCGGTGCGTGGACTCTCGGCCACTAAAAGGTTGGAAGTGAGTGGCGCATTATTTTATTAACGCTGCGAGTTGTTGTGCGGGGAAGAAAAAGCCACTATACGGCTATTTCCCCACAGACCATCTGTTGGCCTTTATCGTCCACTGAGTTTTACACTCCATGAGGTTTGCCTGCTCGGGTATAAGTAATCTAAGCTAACCTATATGCACGCGCGCACGCACACGCGCACGCACGCACGCACGCGCATACACAAACGCACGCACATACTAGGTTAATATTGTTGCTCACAGCTTGTTCACGGCTCCTTTCTACATGTTTACTTACAGGGAGCAGCCTATATTTACAACTAGGGCTCATGTCTTCCACATCGATCCGGCGACGAAGAAGAATTGGATTCCAGCCAGCGGTCAGGCGGTGCCAGTCTCCTTCTTCTTCGACTCGAACAGGAGCACGTACAGAATCATCAGCGTGGAAGGCACGAAGGTACGCAGCAGCAGTAGCAGTAGCAGTAGCAGTAGCAGTAGCCGGTGTACAGCCAGAACCAGAGTAGCCTCTCCATATCCTCACTCACACCCATCCCCCCACAAAGTCTGCCAGCCAGCTACCACAGCAAGCACAACCCACAGCACGACCACGCAATAACTCAACTAGACTAGGACAACAAAGACTTGATCCCTTTTTAATTTCGATCATTTTTCCTTACCTCCTAGTCTTTTCATCCCCTCTTCAGTACCACCAAACTTAACGAGATTAGGAACACAAAGACTTGGTATCTTTCTAAGTCCGATCCCTTTTTGCCTTACTCCCAGTCTTTACATCCCGTCTTCAGTATACCACCATGCACGTACCTTTTCCCACGAATATCAGTCATTCGTTCCTGCTACTCTGCTGTCATCTGTTCTTATCCCGGCAATCATTCAGTGCTATCTAGGATCATCAACACCACCACCAACACGTCACACTCACTCACCACATCACACATTTTCCTGTTCATCCGTTCTCCTAACTTGTCATGTTACTTTCTCATTCGCCACCACCATCTATACCACTACAGCCCTCGCCACTATCAACTAACTCCAACTACATCATGTACGGTAGCGGTATGTAACCGCGTGTAATATTACTGTCTTGCAGCAAATATCATGAAAAAATACTTAATCACCTCAGCAATATTTTATCGGAAATGCAAAATTCGGGTCACAGCGAACCGGGAACACAAAACGCATTCCACAGCCCGTTTCAGTTGACTCGATTAGACATTAAGACTAACCATGAGCCGGCTTCAGATTATGGTATGACCATAGCGACTGTAGTGATCCTACTTCCACCTCTACCTATTTGACTTCATCTCTCTAGCTATCTCCGGAGAAGGTGACAGGCGGAAAAATTTCCGATATATAAGTGTAATTTGCGCGCGACGAAATGGGCGTGTTCGATACGAGAGCGCTCGCTCGCGGCCCATACACGCACGCGCGCACGCACGCGCAGATTGCACACGCACGCATGTGCCCACGGGCGTGCAGTTTGCACACACGCGCATACACGCACACGCACACGCTCATGGGCGTGCACATTGCACAGGCACGCATGCACGCACACGCACGCGCGCACGGGCGTGCATATTGCACACGCACGCATGCACGCACATGAAAGCGCGCACGGGCGTGCACATTGTACACGCACGTACGCACGCACACGCACGCACATGCACGCACGCGCGCGTACGGGCGCACGGGCGTGCAGATTGCACATACGTAACAGCGCGTTGTTTAGAGAGAGAAGAGCGCGAGCGCGCGCGTGGCAGATTGCTCGCGTTTTTCATGAAACCACATGAAACCCCGCGAATCATCATCATCGTCGTGAAGAACGGCTATCATTATTTTCACGCCGCCGACATGTTGGCGGTGTTACGGACGGCGCGTCGTCGACGATGCCGCCACGCTTGTGCTGAGCCAGCTTTGGCTGATGCCGCCACGCGTGTGAGTCATCATCACTCCTTGCTGCGCGTGTGACCGTATAAATTGCCGTACATGTATCACCCGACTTTATCCGTAACCATTATCGCCAGATTTCTGCAACGACCACCGTCCTCTCGTAATGTAGTCGCGGGGTTTAGGGTGAGATGAGAGCTCCCGCGGGGAAGGTAGTTAGGTTCGCTCACTTATAGCCTAATCACTTATTATACTTTTATAGCATTGTAGTATATAGTATATGGTATATAGTATATAGTTATGTTATAGTATATAGTATATAGTATATAGTTATATTATATAGTATTGGTATATAGTCATGTATATAGTATATAAGCTATCGGTGCTATGACATAACTAATATTTAGTATATATATATATCAAACCTCGTACGCTCTTTTCTCTTCTCTCTCGTACTCTTTCTGCCTTCTATCTTCTCATCTTCTCTCGCTCTATGCTCGCTTGCTTCGTCTCTTCAATCTCTCGTCCTTGTCGTCGTTGTTCAACACTTCTGCTAACTCTTTTCCGCACCACCGGCAGCTTACTTGAGTCTCTGGTCTCTCGGTGTTAATGGTACTTTTGCCTCTCTGGTAATTACTATCACGAATACGGGTATCATTACTGTTCTTCTTCTAACTCTCGCCCTTTATATAGCCCTGCCGCATTTCGATCTCCCTTCTCCGCGACCCCTTGCGCGGCGACGTGTTTCGCAGGGGCACAAATGGGTTTGCCACAGAAAAGCGGGCGGCGCGACAAAAAACTACGCCGTTCTCGGCGACAATTCGATGCTTGACTCGATTTGGCGGCGACTAAACGCACGCGTAATTGTCCGCCGGCTTAATGCCGTCGATTGATTGATTGCATTCGAGAGCTTCGCGCGCCGAAAATCCGATCGACGCGATACAAAACGTTGCACGCAAGGAGCAGACGAGAATACGCTGGTGGTGGACGGAGGTCGATGTAAGGTGAAGAGACGTTGACGGATAGTTATTTTGCTCCAAACCGACGAACCGGGCCGGGAGGGCAACAGACCGCCGGGTCCATGTCGGATTAATTCTAATGAGCCGGACCGCCCGCAAGCTGCATGCGAGAGGAAGCTCGAAAGCAGCGTGACAATGGCTGAGCTGAAGGCAGTGTCTTAGAAGTATTGCCAGCTCGGAAGCCCTGCGCAGAAAGAACGAAAGCCGGGCAAAGGAATGACTGATGCTTTTCAGCGTTAGCATGCACGAATATAACAATCTCTTAAGGATGAGGATTGCACTATGGGGAGGAAGTTGCAAATAGTGGGCTCAGGTCTCTCTACGGGTGCAAAGGCGGCAGGGAGGAGGCGGGAGCACGCGCAGGGAGGAGGCGGGAGCACGCGCAGGGAGGAGACGGGAGCACGCGCAGGGAGGAGGCGGGAGCACGCGCAGGGAGGAGGCGGGAGCACGCGCAGGGAGGAGGCGGGAGCACGCGCAGGGAGGAGCACGCGCAGGGAGGAGGCGGGAGCACGCGCAGGGAGGAGGCGGGAGCACGCACAGGGAGGAGGCGGGAGCACGCGCAGGGAGGAGGCGGGAGGAGCACGCGCAGGGAGGAGACGGNGGTGTGCGTGCGCGATTGCGGGCGTGCGTGCGTGCGTGCGTGCGTGATTGCGTGCGTGCGTGCGTGCGTGCGCGTTAAACGCGCGTTTAGCAGCGGGGCTTGCGTGCGTGCGTGCGTGTGCGTACGCGCGCGCGTGGGTGTGTATGCATTAGTTTGTTGTATGTGCGTGCGTGTATATGTGCGTGTAGGCGAGTGCGTGCTTGTATAATGTGTGCGTGTGCTCATGTGTGTATGTATTTGCATGCCTGTGTGCTTATCTCTCTTTCTCTGTGTGTCTGTCTCTGTATGTGTGTGTCTGTCTCTCTCTCTCTTTCTCTCTGTCTTTTCTCTCTCCTCCTCTCTCTCTCTCATCTCTTTCTCTCTCTCTCTCTCTCGTCTCTCGCTCTTTCTATTCTTTCTCCTTCTCTCTCTCCTCTCCCTCTCTCTCTCCTCGTCTCCTCTTTCTCCTGCATCTCTCTCTCTCTCTCGTCTCTCTTGCTGTGTTTTCTCTCGTCCTCTTTGTCTAGACTTCCTTCTCGCCTCTGTCATCGGGAGGTCTCTCTCGTCCTCTCTCGCTCTCTCTCCTCTCTCTCTTCTCTCTCTCTCTCTCTCTCTCTCTCGATCTCTCTCGTCTCTGCTGCTGCGGCTGTTGCTCGTCTCTCTCTCGCTCTGTCTCTGTCTCTCCTTTCTCACCCCGTTCTTCTCTCTCTCTTGCCTGTCGTCTGTCTTCTCCTTTCGCCTCCCGTCTCGCGCTTCTCTCTTCTTCTCTCCTCTTTCTCAACCCTCTCTCTCGTTCTCTCTCTCTCTTGTCTTGCTGTACTCCCTAATGCGTGTCTCCCTTCCCCGCACGCGTGCAGAAGCACTCATAATGATTGCTGTCATGTTGAACAGTAGCGAGAGAGGTGCATAACCTTGTTTAACGATCGTCAAGCTGTTGCCCCGTCAGCGATGAAGCCATCAATCTGAAATAATATCCATATGATATATATAGGTCCGTCTATTTACCATTTCTATGACGTCACAGTGGCCATCGAAGAATAATCTGCCTTATATAAGGGCGAGCTGTTTTTTCTGTCTGTCTGTATGTCTGTCTGTCTATCTTCTCCCCAACGTAAGAGTTTACCCCCAACATCATATATCATTCTGAATCAACGATGACCGACGACCATTTAAGTCAAAAAAAATTGACCAAAAAAATTTGACCCAAAAAAACTTGACCCATAAAAAATTTGACAAAAATTATTGACTAAAAAAAACGTAGCGGCCTCTTCTTCTTTGACACTCTTGGCGAACAGCAGACGCTTCGGTTACCAACTTCTTCTGGCCAAGGTCAGGCAGACGAGGAAGATTGGCCTGGCGAGTTGCTTCAAGCAGTTATTGCTGCCACCCTGCTGGGACGTGAGGCACACAGCTCACTCGCCTTAAGCTGCCATTCAACGTGGCAAAGCGGCAAAATCTAACCTGTGCAACATCAGCGTGGCTCCACAAGGCCACGCTTGTTCAAGAGTGCAGCTCAATATCTTGGGAGAGGCAGACCAAATGAGCCCACAAGCCCCTTTGGAGCACTCGACAACACCCTAACAACACTTCGGCAGCAAAAAACGTCATGAAGTGTCTCTCCTGCTGCTCAGGGCGACTTTCGCAAAACCTTGCAGTTTCATTGGCCAAGGACAAGAGGAAGATGCTGTCATGCTGCATCATGTCGTCGTACCTCTGAGCGAGTGAACCGCAGACAGGCTGAATTACCAAACATGAGGGTGGCAGCTCAGTGCGATGAAGAAAGCTGGCCGCTTCTTCTCAGCAACGTGGCTGGAGTGGTCGGCAATAGCAGACTCACCACACAGCTGAGTGGCAAAGTCAAGCTGGCATTCAGCAACAGCAGGCGACGGACATCAGCCCAGCTGACGACGCAACGCTTCCCAAACCTCCACCTCCGCTCACCAAGACCAAGAC